ACAACCTGATATATATATAGAGAGAGAGAGAGAGAGAGAGAGAGAGAGAGAGAGATTGTTCATTGCCATCTCAAAAGACTGAAACTACCAAATTATGTATCAATAGGGAGCTGGTTAAATAAGTTATGCTATATCCATATAATAGGATATCTCGCAAATGTTAAAAAGATTGAGTATGCTCTCTTTTATTCCTATGGAAAGCTCTCCAAAGTATACTATGGAGGAGAAACACATACAAGGTGTTGAATAACATGAATAGTGTTAAAAGTGGGGACAAGAATATATGTTTATATTTATTATAAGAAAGGAGTACTGGAAGGACATTCGAGAAACTAATAGCAGTGATTAACTGTGAGTGAGGACGAGGTGGAGCTATAGGAGACTGAGAAGATCAGAGAAAGGAGAAAAGCAATATTTTTTCACTGAATATTATGTACACATAATATTGAAAATTAAAAAAAAATTTGAACCATATAGTTATATTAATTAGTCAATAATGATACTTTAAAAAATAAGACAAAATACTAATGCTGTCTATAAGCTACAAGAGTGTAGCTGAAATCATTTTTAGATTTGAAAGCTTAGAGCGCAGGCGGCCTTCTGAAGTGTATTTCTACAAGGGAATGCAGCTGTGCACCTCAGCTGGTTGTCTTTCAGGTTTACTCACTAACCTGTAAAAAACATCTTAACTACTCTGGGTGTTCATTGCTCTATATGTGTGATAGCATCATATTGCAATTGTTAATACAATAATGCAGGGTGGGGATAAAAAGTTGTTAGATAAAGATAAAATGTAAAATGTAATTAAGGCAACTCAGCATTAAACCCAATTTACTCACAGATGTGAAACGGCTGGCAGGAAGCCTGTCCCAGGAGAACACTAGGGCAGCCCTATCTAGCATTTCCTTCAGAGTCACAGAACATTTCCATTTGAATAAGACCAAGTTTGTTAAGAGAGTCTTATGAAGTCTTATGAAGAAGGTGACAAAAATGGGTAACATTGTGGCCTGGAATGTAACACTGGTTAGGCAGAGTAAAAGAGCAGGTAAATAACTGAGCCCACAAGACTGATGTTAATAAGGAGGGAGGGTCCTGTATTATTCAACAGTTTTAACCAATAATTCAGATGAAAACATACAAGGCTGACTTGTCAACTTTTATATACTCAAAGCTGGAGGGAAAGCTATTGGATGGCAGAAAAAGATTGAGAAATGACCTCAATAGATCAAGGGGTTGAATTCAAGAAGATGAAATGTAAAAGGAATAAATGTGAAGCGTGGCCTTTAAATTCAAGGACATAAATTGCATCTCCAAGACAGGACAATGGAGATGTGGCTTGGCAGCATCAAGGGTGAAAGAGTTTAGGGGATTTAGTTGAATTTAAGCTCCAGAGGAGTCAACAGCCTGAAAGAGGCTGTTTTTGTTTTTTGTTTTTTAAAAAAAGCCCATGCTTCATTGAGCTGCATTAATAACATTAATAACAGTGTCCCAAAACCAGAAAACCAATGGGCCCTCTCAAATTTGTTCTGTTCATACAACAGAATGATGCTCAATTGCATGAGGTTGGCTTGCTTTTCCTCTTCCTCTACTTTGTAAATCTGCTTACATATTTTAACTCATTTAATCCTTACAACATACCTAAAAGTACTACTGTTGTGCCCAAGTGGCAGAAGACAAGTAATAGATGAAGCACAGAGAAGTAATTTGCTCAAGGTAACACAGTTCATAAACACTCATAGGACTAGAAGCATCAGTGTCTTCTGGGGACTCTTTAGAAATGCAAATTATTGGGCCACATTCCTGATCTGCAATTTACTTAATCACAAACTCTGGGAGTAAGAACGAAAAATTTGTGTTTTAACAAGTGTTCAAGGTGACTCTGAAGTACATAAAAATTTGACAACCACTTCACTACCACTATTTTGCTTCCACATGAATAGAGGATGATTTATTTTTGTTAAGTTATTTTTGTTAAACATTGAGTCAGTTCCCACTCATAGTGACCCTGCATAGGATTTTCAAGGAGTAGTTGATGGATTTAAACTGCCAACCTTGCTGCTCAAACCAACCTTGTGGTCCATTGCTTATCCTATAGCACAAAACTTAGTCATCTCTTCTTTAGATTGCTCAGCATTGGGCCTTACGTATAGGCAGTAGCCAGTGAATATATTAATGTAGTCATATAACAAAGCTTGACTGTGCACTACCATGTACTTAGATCTGAGTTAAGTGCTTAGAGAGGTGTTCAAATAAGTGCTAAGTATAAAGTGTAGGGCAGGAGACAGACACAGGCATATGATCTATTTCATTAACACTCTAAGAAATTTAGAAATCTAATATATTTCTTTGATATGCAAATTTATCCATCTCTGGATCCATTGATCTAGGAATGATCAGTGAACCAACAGTTCATTGACTTAAAAATGATCAGGGAAGGAGTTGAATTTTATTCCAGAAAGTGAAATTGGCCATATAGAGGGTGAAGCCAACCATATACACACTTAAATTAATTGACAGTATATTTCTCCCCTGGCTTAGTGAAACAGCAATATGTCAATGATAAGTATATTAAATTTCTAAATTTCTTAGAGTGTAGTCATAATAGGTCATTTTAATCTCGACAGCTCCCATTCTTTAATAATGAATAATAAGAAGAGCAAATTAGCAGCTTGATGGAAGAAAGGAGAGTCAGAAGAAATAAAAAAAAAAGTAAGGAGGGAGAGGGAAACCAAAAAATGCATCTTTATTAAGTGTTAAAGAACACAAATGCCAAATTGTCAATTTGGGGATTTACAATTTTCATTAGGCTAGATGACTAAAATGCAAGTAAAATCTAAAATCTTGCTAAAGATAATACAAAACTGCCTGCAACCATACGTTGGCAAAGAACTTCCAGAGATTTAAGTCAGATTCAGAAGATGATGTGGAACAAGAGATGTCATTGCTGACATCAGATGGATTTTGAATGAAAGCAGAGAATACCAGAAAGATGTTTACCTGTGCTTTATTGACTATGCAAAGGCTTTCAATTGTGTGGATTCTGACAAGCTATGGACAACATTGTGGAGAATGAATATTCCAGAACACTTAATTGTGCTAGTTGAGGAACCTATACATAGACAAAGAGGCAGTTGTTTGAACAGAACAAGGGAACACCGAATGGTTTAAAATTAGGAAAGGTGTGTACCAGGGCTGTATTCTTTCACCATACTTATTCAATCTGTATGCTGAGCAAAGACTCTGAGAAACTGGATTTTATGAAGAAAAACGTGGCATCAAGATTGAAGGAAGACTCATTAACAACCTGTGATATGTAGATGATACAACCTGGGTTGCTGAAAGTGAAGAGGACTGAAAATATTTACTGATGAAGATCAAAGACCACAGCGTTTGGTATGGGTTGCATCTCAATGGAAAGAAAACAAAAATCCTCACTACTGGACCAGTAAACAACAAACATCAAGATAAATGGAGAAGAGATTGAAGTTGCCAAAGACTTCATTTCAACACTCATGAAAGCAGCGGTCAAGAAATCAAACAATATATTGCATTAGGCAAATCTGCTGCACAAGACCTTTTTAAAGTGTTGAAGAGCAAAGATGTCAGCTTGAGGTCTAAGGTGCGCCTGACCCAAGCCATGGTATTTTCAATAACCTCCTATGTATGTGAAACTTGAACAGCGAATAAGGAAGACCATAGAAGAACTGATGCATTTGAGTTACGGTGTTGGAGGAGAATGTTAAACCTACCATGGACTACCAAAAGAACAAACCAATCTGTGCTGGAAGAAGTACAGCCCGAATGCTCCTTGGAAGCCAGGATGGCCAGACTTTATTTTTCATAATTTGGACATGTTACCAGGATGGACCAGTCCCTGGAGAAGGATATCATGTTCGGTAAAGTAGAGGGTCAGAGAAAAGGAGGAAGACCCCCAATGAGATAGATTATCACAGTGGCAGCAACAGTGGGCTCAAGCTTGTGAGGTTGGTGAGGGATTGGGCAGTGTTTCATTCTGTTGTGCATAGGGTCACTATGAGTTGGTGCAGATTCGATGGCACCTAATAACAACAAACAACAGAAGACTAAGAATTTAGTTGTTCAAGATTAGGGATTTAGTTTTGTGGTTCTTTGGGCTTGTGTTTCAAGAGATATCATTTACATCTTACCAAATATCCTCACAACTATCCCCATGTATAGATGTGAAAAATGAAACTTAAAGAATGTAAGTCACTTATCCAAGGTCATCTAGCCAGTAAGTAACTAAAATCCATGGTTGCCTGCCTCTCCTACATTGCAAATTTTTTACACCATGCTATATAAGGAGCTCTGGTAGCGCAGTGGTTATGAATCAGGCTGCTAACCTCAAGGTCGGCAGTTAGAAACTACCAGCCATTCCGCGGGAGAAAGATGAGGTTTTCTGCTCCTGTAAAGATTTACAGCCTTGGAAACCCTGTGCAGGGTTACTATGACTCCACGGTATTTAACAACAACAACATCTATATACAAGAGTCTTGGTGTGGTTCTGCAGGATAATGCGCTGGACTGCAAGGTTTGTTTGAAATGCCAACTTAGCAGTTCAAACTTACCAGCAGCTCTTTGGAAATCCTATACAGGGTCAGTATGGGTCTGAACTGAGTCAACAATACATAACAACAACGTAAATCTCCATGTAAGAGTCCTGGTGTAGCACTGTAAGATTAGCACTGGATTACTAACCACAAGGTCAGTGGTTCAAACCCACCAGCAGTTCTTTGGAAACCCTATATAGGATTGCTGTGAGTCAGAGACGACTCAATGGCACTTAATAACATCTCCATATAGCATATATTTTCAAAAAAACAAACACAAAAACTAAGCAAAAACTTCTGCTTTCTCTGTTCTAACATCGCTATATTTCTTGATATAAGAGTCTATACATTGTTTTTGCTATTGTTGAATTGATTCCATCATTACTTCCTTTCTGCTCAACCACTTACAATTAATTGCCTAATATTCCTGACAGTTTATGGTCTCCAAATGTCTCTACTACTGCCTTGGCACTTAGTATATGTTAGTTGGAGTCCTAGTGTGATGTTGTAAGATAAACACAAGGTTGGTGATTCAAACCCACCAGCCGCTCCTCAGAGACCCTATACAGGGTTACTATGAGTCAGAACTAAAGTCAATGACACTTAACAACAACAATTGCTAAGTGTCATATTATATTGATATCCTGGATCTACATTATTTCCAGCAAAACTCAATTCTTAGAATTCTTTAAGGCTGTCAAATATCTTATGAATAAATAATGATTACTGAAGGAGTCCCGGTGGCATGGTGGGTTGGGTGTTGGACTGCTAACCATAAGGTCAGCAGTTCAAATCTACCAGTTGCTCCACTAGAGAAAGATGAGGCTTTCTGCTCCAATAGAGAGCTCAGAAATGCTATGCAGGTTTACTATGAGTTGGAACCAACTCAACAGCACACAACCACCACTACTACCACTAAGTCACTGTGGTTGTTGTTAAATGCCATCAAGTCAGTTCATACTCATAGTGACCCTATATAGGGTTTCTAACTGGGTTTTAACCATTGATCAGTTAGAAATCCAGTACTTATCTTACAGAAGCACTTCAGGACTCCACCAGTGTCCATTAATTGACAAAATATTAATTCAGTGTGTTGGGGCAATTACCACATTAGGACCAGATTTGGGGACAACCTGTGTATTACTTTCCTTTTCGTAAGTAATACAATATGGACTCTTCAGGTAGTATTGACATGACTACCCAGATACAAACACACTTAGTTCATGGATTTTCTAGTATTTGAGAGACATAAAGAATGCTGACATCAGTTCTGAGCAGTCAGAAACAACTGGGAGACAGGCTACAGAGAGCATTCCCAGATACATATACATAACATACCAACATTCACCATCCTGAAGGTCTAATGATCACATACACACGTTCCTACTCTCTCAAGCTGTTGGACTGGTAAATAATAACTTAATTGCAGTACTTATTCCCTTCCCTTGCCCCTTCCCTTTTTTCACATCATATTCTTGAAATTAAGAGTTTAGTTACCCACCATCACCCTTAGGGTCGCTGAGGGCAGTAGGAGGGATGATGGATGATCGATGACGTCCAAACCAACATTCCTTGGAAAACCGTCTCTTGCAGTCTTCATGCACCTGAAACAACAAGAGAAGAGAAGAGAAAAAAAAAAAAAAAAAAAAGAGGGTGGGGAAGAGAGAAAAGAACAATACTGATTAGAATTTCCTTTTTTAGATTTGGTATCACAGACACACCCCCTATGCATCTGGACACCCCTACTCTCTCTTCAGCCTGAAGTGTCCCTAAGTGTGGCCTATGAACTCTGGTCTTTTCAAAGATGACTTTCAGAAGATATCCATTTATGGATACTGAGAAGCCACTCATCCTAGGGTCTAATCTTAGTATCCTACAGAATGGGGAGATTATTTGCAGCATAAAAGGGCTACTCCTAATAATGTGCTATGGCGCTTTCATCCTTACAACAACCATGTGTGGCAGGGAAGACATTATTAGACTTATTTTAGAAAAAAGGACACATAAACCTCAGAGAAGTAAAGGGGCTTCCCTAAGATCAAACTACTGGGAAACGACAGAACTGAGACTCTGTTGCTTTTGCCCCCAAGTAGCCATTCTTTCCAATTCCCAACATCTTCAAATATCACTTCCAGGACCATTACACAGTTCCTGGGGAACATGAACTTGGCCAGGCTATTCAAAAGTAATTAAAACAGAGCCACAGAACAACCAGAGTCTTCCAAGAAGAAGCTTATGCTTCAATTGCTTCTTGTTCAGAATAATCAGTTTGAGAGATATGTCTAAATGTTTGGGTAATCTAGGTTATGGTTTCTCAAACTCAGTGCTATTATAATTTTGATTCAGATAGGTGGTTTTTTGTGTGTGTTATCTAGGTCTATCCTGTATATTTTAGGAGGTTTAGCAGCATCCCAGGCCTCTACTCACACCTCCTTCCCTCACCTTAAATTGTAATAGCCAAAATTGTCTCTGAGCACTTGGGGAAAGGGGTGCATACGGTGAAAATAATCTCCCAGTTGAGAAGCCATTATTTAAAGGCATTTCAGTGCTGTACTTAAGAATATAGTCTGTGAAGAATTATGTATGAATCAGGACTCTTCTTATTATTAGCTGTATGAATCTCACTTTTCTTATCTGTAAAATAGGGACAATAAGGCTTATTTTTTAAGGTTGTTGTAAGGATTAAAATCGACCATGTATATAAAACACTCAATGCATAGTGGCAATAATAATGTGTCAATATCCTTAACTGTTATTAATTAACAAAGATTACAAGTTTCTAGGAAATGGTCAATGTGGAACATTAATAAAAGATTTATTAAAGATAGACTCAGAATTTTTTTTTAATTGCCCATGCTGCCATACAAGAGTTAAAAATATCCCATTTGCTAGTAGGATTTGCCAGGTAAGAGCCATTAAAGAGTCTTTGAAGTTGTGTTGTGGCACTGTAGGTTAAGCAATGAACTGCTAACGAAAAGGCTGGCAGTTCAAACCCTCCAGTCCCTCCTGGAAACCCTATACAGGGTTGTTATGAATCAGAACTGACAACAACAACAACAAAGAGAGTCTTTAATTTTTCTCCCACATACTCCACAGCCAGATCTGGAAGGGCAAGATACTGTGCTCTATACAATGGAATCAGTATAATCTATTTTGGAGTAAGAGTCTAAGATCTTTATCTACGTGCATGAACAATGAAATCCAAGTCACTTCTCTCTCCAAAGCCAGGTTCTCTAAGCAGTGAGGAAATGAATCTTACTATAGAATTGCACCATAAACACTGGAAATCTTGAAGTCTTTGATAACTGCCACAGTTCTCATGACACACTGCACATTGAGAGTTGACAGACATGTTTCCTTCTATCCACTGATGTGGCATGCTTTTCTGGAAGGGAAAAAGAGACAAAATGTAGAAGTTAGAGATAAAAAGAGGAAAAGGCATAACCACTTTCCACTGCCCCATGGAGGACATAAAGGAAATTCTTCCTGGTGTTTCCCTCCCCACCTCCAATGCCAGTGACTAATGACTTATGGAAGTGGGAAACGTTCATTTTTTGAGATTGGTTTAATTGTGAACTTGGGGAAAAAGTCTACTTGTGGGTGTCTTGAGGGAAGAAGAAATCTCCCTTTCTATGTGTGTCTTGGCTAAAAGGGAAATGAAAGAGGATGACTGTCGGAAAGTATGACTGGCACTCACTAGTTCATCTGCAGGCAAAAGAAGGTCATCAGTGATAGACAAAGTATTCCACTTGCAGTCTTTGCTTGCTCTCAAAGCACATATTCTGTGAGATTTGATTTTGCAGACTATGAGAGAAGGAAGAAAAAAATGGGTATAAATCTGGTGACAACAAATGAATAAGTTTATCTAAGTTTCTATGAAAGGTAGAGCCCAGATTCATTCTAAATACTTCTGATCCACCTCCAAAGGTCTATTTTCCATGTGATCCAGTTCCTTTTAAGTCTGACTGAATGATTCCTAAGTATTCCAACTTGATTGGAAATTGAGGGTAAGAATTAGGTGATTTCTGACTTTCCAAGCCTTGTGACCACTTTGTCCCATTCCCCCATACCAAATCATCCATTTTCTTTTATAAGAATTCCCCCTTAATATCAGTTTCCTCCCACCTCCTTTCCCTAGTCTGTTCTCAGGTTTAGCCTCACACAAGAGTCTATGACCTAGTGTGAGTCAATGATACTATAGCCACATTCTCCCATATCCCCATGCACTGAGCTCCACTTCATAAAGGAATCAGGAAGGTACCTTCACAGATGATAATATTTCTAGATAAAGCAGGAATCCTCTCGCGACAAACATTGCAGTGCTGGGTCCTGCTACTGTGGCTGGAGTACCAGTAATGCATGCCAACAAGGAAAGGGTTGTTTTCTGCTGCAGGTATCTAAAATAAATAAAAGAGAAAAGATTTGAAAGGAGAGTTAATCACAAAGACAGATTAGAGAAGGTCAGAAACTAGGTTTCAGAGTGTGTGAATGGTGAAACTTAAAATTGAAGTCAATACCTAAGAAACCTCCCATTTCTGATGGCCAGTGCTTTTGAATAGGGAAAAATGATAGGGGGTCAGATCTTGGAATAGGAGCTGAAGGCCAGGACAATGATTTTTATGCTGTTTGTCCAAACAGCTGCTTTGGTTTAGTCTAAGCAAAAACTAGTTCTGTTGGTGTTGGCCTGATTCTCTTTGAGTATCAAGCAAAAGGAGGTAAGAAGTTGGAAATTCAGTGATATCCAAGGCAGGGAAGGACATAAAGCTCTGTCCCTGGGTCAAGCTGTAGCTACCTCTTAGAGATCTAGCTTCCTTCCTGCTCCTGCTATTGCCAGGTGAGTAAAGCATTGCTTTACTTGGACAACAGTTTCAACTTAAGGGATGCTTGCCCAATAATTATTCTCTGAATATCACATTCTAATGGACCACTGGTTTCCTGGTTAATCAATCAATTAATTAATTAAACAATTGAACAATTGTTCATTGTGGTTGTTGTTAAGTGCCGTCAACTCAGTTCCGACTTATAGCCACCCTGTATAGTGTTTCTAAGACTGTCAATTTTTGCGGGAGCAGCAAATGTCATCTTTCTCCCAGAGAGGCTGGTGGGCTCAAACCGCCAACCTTGTTGTTCAAAGTCCAGCGCATATCCTACAGATCCACCATGCTACCCATTGTTTATTGTAGTAAAATGTTAAATTTGCCACTTTAACCATTTTAAGTGGAATTGATTATATTCACAATGCTGTGTCAGCATCACAATGATATATTTCTTCAACTTTTTCATCACTGCAGGAACACTGTATTCATTAAGCAATTATTCTCCCCTTTCCCACCCTCTGGTAATACTAATCTACTTTATGTCTCTGCATTTGTCTGATCTAGGTATTTCAAATAAGTGAGATCATACAATATTTGTTCTTTTGTAGCTGGCTTATATCATTTAGCATAATGTTTTCAAGATTTATTTGTGTCATAGCATGTACCAATATTTCATTTATCTTTATGACTGACTGATATTTTATTTTATATAGATACTACATTTTGTTTAAACACTTTCATTGTTTCTATATTTTCATATTGTGAATAATGCTACAATGAATTTTGATGTATGCATATCACTTTGAGTTCCTGCTTTCAATTATTTTTGGTATATACCTAGGAGTAAACTTGCTGGGTCAATAAGATCACTCATCTGTCAGTTTGTCGTACTGTGGTGGCTTGTGTGTTGCTGTGATGCTGGAAGCTATGCCACTGGTATTTTAAATACTAGCAGGGTCTCTCATGGTGGACAGGTTTCAACTGAGTTTCTAGACTAATGCAGACTAGGAAGTAGAGGAGGCAGTCTACTTTTGAATGTTTAGCCACTGGAAACCATATGAATAACAGCAGAACATTGTCTGACATAGTTCCAGAAGATTACAACATAACATTATGAATAGCACCAGAATAGTTTCAGATATAGTACCAGAATATGAGCTCCTCAGGTTGGAAAGTAAACAAAATATGATTGGGAAAGAGATGCTTCCCCAAAGTAGAGTTGACCATGATGACATGAATGGAGTAAAGCTTTGGGGATCTTCATTTGCTTAAGGGGCACAACTCAAAATGAGGAGAAGCACCTAAAAACATCTATTAATAATTGGAACATGGAATGTATGAAGTATGAATCTAGGAAAATTGGGAGCTGTCAAAAATAAAATGGGATGCATAAAGATTGTTGTTGTTCTTAAGTTCCGTCAAATTGGTTCCAACTCACAACCACCCTGTATAGAGTTTCCAAGAAGTGGCTGGTAGGTCTGAACTGCTCACCTTACAGTTCAAATTGACTCCTTCAATGAGAGACTGATCAGACATGCAATCAAGATGTATAGATAATTACTGGTGATTGGAATGTAAATGTTGGGAGCAAAGAAGAAGGATCAGTTAATTGGAAAATATTGCCTTGGTGATAGAAATTATACTGGAGACCGCATGACAGAATTTTGCAAGATCAATATCTTATTCATTGCAAATATCTTTTTTTAAACAACATAAAAGACATGATCTTTACTACACATGATCTTCACTATATGGAATGCACATGATCTCCACTATATGGAATATACAAAAAGCAACTTGACTAAATCTGTGAGAATTTGTTGTTGTTAAGTGCCATTGAGTCAGTTCTGACTCATAGCGAACTTGTATAGTGTTCCAGAGGACCAGATGGTGGGCTTGAACCATTGATCTTGCAGTTAGCAGTCCAGTGCTATACCAGACTGTTGGAAAAGCTCAATATTATCAGTCCAAAAAAGGCCAGGGGCAGACTATGGAACAGATCATCAATTGCTTATATGCAAGTTCAAGCTGACATTGAAAAACATTATTAAGACAAGGAGAGCCAAAAATAATAACCTTGAACATATCCCACCTGAATTTAGAGACCATCTCAAGAACAGATTTGATACATTAGATACTAATGACAGAATACCAGAATACTTGTGGGATGACATCAAGAACATCATACAGGAAGAAAGCAAAAGGTCATTAAGAAGACAAGAAAGAAAAAAAAGACCAAAATAGACGTCAAAAGAGATTCTGAAACTTGTTCTCTAGCATAAAGCTGCTAAAGCAAATGGAAGAAATTAGGAAGTGAAAGAGTTGAACAGAAAATTTCCAAGGGCAGTTCAAGGAGACAAAGTCAAGACCTGGAGTGAGAAAACCAAAAGGGAAGAATACACTCAGCATTTCTCAAGCTGAAAGAACTGAAGAAGAAGAAGAAAAAAAAAAATCAAGATTCAACTTTTTTTTAAACAACATAAAAGCGAATGATTTTATGGGGAAAATACTGAATGATGCAGAAAGCATCAAAAGAAGATAGTAGAAATATAGAGTCACTGTACCCAAAAGAAATTGTCAAAGTTTAACCATTTCAAAAGGTAGCATATGATCAAGAGCCATGAAGACTCGGGTATAGTGAAAACATTAGCAAAGAAAAAGGCTCTGGGAATTGACTGGATACAATTTGAAATCTCTCAATAAACTGATGCAGAATGATCTATGCCAAGAAATTTGAAGACAGCTACCTGGCCAACTGATTGGAAAATATCCAAATTTGTGCCCATTCCAAAGAGAGGTGACTCAACAGAATACAGAAATCATGGAGTAAAATTATTAATATGACAGGAAGGTAAAATGTTACTGAAGATAACTCAAACGAGGTTACAACAGTACATTGTCAGGAAACTGCCAGAGGTTCAAGCTGGATTCCGAAGAGGATGGGTCTTGATTGAAAGCAGAGAATTCCAGAAAAACGTTTACCTGTGTTTTATTGACTATAAGGCTTTTGACTGTGTGGCTCATGACAAACTGTAGACAACATTGAGAAGAATGGGTGTTCCCGAACATTTAATTTTACTCATGAGGAACCTGTACATAGACCAAGAGGTAGTTGTTAGAACAGAACAAGGGGGTACTGAATGGCTTAAAATCAGAAAAGCTGTGTGTTAGAGTTGTATTCTTTCACCACCCTTATTCAATATGTATGCTGAGCAAATAATCCAAGAAGCTGGACTATATGAAGAAGAACGTGGCATCAGGATTGGAGGAAGACTCATTAACAACCTGCGATATGTAGATGATACAAAGTTGCATGCTGAAAGTGAAGAGGACTTAAAATACTTACAGATGAAGATCAAAGACCACAGCCTTTAGCATGGGTTAAACCTCAATGTAAAGAAAACAAAAATTCTCACAACTGTATCAATAAATAACATCATGATAAATGGAGAAAAGATTGAAGTTGTCAAAAACTTTATTTTGCTTGGCTCCACTATCAACCTTTTCTCATGGAAACAGCAGTCAAGAAATTAAAGGACATGCTGCATTAAGCAAATCATTTGCATAAGACCTTTTTAATGTGTTCAAGAACAAAGATGTCAGTTTGAGGACTAAGGTGTGCCTGATACAAGCCATGGTACTATTCAATAGCCTTATATGCAATGTGAAAGTTGGGTAAAAAATAAATAAGACCATAGAAGATTTGATGCATTTGAATTATGATGTTGGAGAAGTACCATGGACTGCCAGAAAAACAAACAAATAACTGTGCTGGAAGAAGTTCATCAGAATGCTCCCTAGACGCCAGGATGGCGAAGCTTCATCTTTCATACTTTGAACTTGTTGTCTGGAGGGAAGTCTCTGGAGAAGGACTTGTAATAGCAAGACTTGTAATACATACTTATCTAGGATTTGGATGCATTGTTTCCTTATGAACTAGGATACACTGGTATGGCACTGTAGCATAAGCGCTAGACCACAAGGTCAGTGATTCAAACTCATCAGCCACTCCTCAGAAACCCTATATAGGTTTGTTATGAGTTGGAAGTGACTCAATGACAACAACAACAACAGGCCTTTTTACTTGTTGACATAGATTAAAAATCCATTTTTAAGACAGATCCAAAACTGTTGCATACACACAAACCAATGATATCTGAATGTTAAGGAAGGTAGTTTAAGTCTTTTAGTTGGTGGTTATTAGGTTTTTGTGTTTGAATTTTATCCTCTCAGAAGTATTTAGGAGAATACACTTGTGCAAAGAGTCCATTGCTCCAATCAGATTCTTTGCTGTTCTAGGGAAGCTAAGGGTATTTTTTCCATCTCCAGAATCCCTTTCAGCATAATCCAGTACCCAGACATGCACATTGATTATTTATCTACTAGTTAAATAAGATCCTGTTAGTCCAGGTGCTTCATAACTCTAAAGCACTAGCCAAATATTAGGATGAAATAGTATTATGTAAAATACATTAAATTCATGAAATACATCCATCAAGCACAGAATCTTCTGAAGATGTAATTCCTTAAAGGAATCTTGCTTGAGATGGCTTATATTATGAACAGTGGTGTTTAGATCA